ATTAAAAAACAACAGAACACCCTCTGGAGTGCAATTCTACTCTGAGACATATGACAGCAATGAGTTTTTCTTGGTCTCTCAGTTCTTGACTCTCCCAGCCAGCACTGACACAAGTCACAGGGCCATGCCCAGCTTTGAAGGGGGCAGGGCATGTAGTCCCACATGTATCCAAATGGAAAAGAACTGACACATTTAATGAACAGAACTGATTTCCACAGTAAACTTCACTGAAATGCACGTTCACCTTGTTACTAAGTCCCTGTCTGAAGCTCCACTACCTGGCTTTGAAACATGATGTCACCACTATGTGACCGTAGGCAAGTTACTGATGACTCAGTTTTCTTATCTGTAAAATAAGGGTAGCTGGAATCCACTCGACATCAGTAAGTCTGGCTTTCATTTTTTTCTTTGGACTAATACTTAGCCGTAGGGCTGTTAGGAGAGCTAAACTATTTAAAACATGTAAAGCTTGAAAAAGTACTTGGCCGTGTTGTGCAATGTTGCCATTGTTCACTGCCACTGACTAGGCCCGACTCTGGGACGCTGCCAGGTCCTGTGCCGTCCCCCTGATAGGTCGTGGATCAGGTTGCGATCATAGGGTTTTCATTGCCAGGCCTTTCTTCGTAGTTCATCGTAGTCTGGGAAGTGCCACTGAAGCCCATTCAGCATCATGACAACACACAAGCCTCCACTGATGGATGAGTGGTGGTTGCACTTGAAGCACATTGGCCAGGAATAGGGTCCCAGGTCTCCCTCAAGGAAGGTGAGAATTCCACCACTGAACTGTGCTGCCTCCAAGCTGGTTATTATTAGCTAAGTCTGTTGGATATCTGCAGAGCTCTCTCTATAAACCACAAGTCTCCACTGAGCCCAGGACTTGAAGTTAAAATCTGCTCTTCCAAACTGCAATTGCACGATCATGCCTTTGGCTACTCCGAAAGCTGTTTTTATATCTATGCAAGGAAAAAAACAACAGCTGATAAAGACCACAAGCACTTTTTTTTTCTTTAATTTTTTTGTGATTTGGGTGAAAGTTGACAGAGCAAATTCATTTTCCATACAGCAGTTCATACGCATTTTGTCTCATTATATTGACTGCAATTCCCTACAAAGTAACAGCTCACTTCCCACTTCTTCCCCGTAGTTACCTCTTCCCTGTGTCCTTCCCTGCCCCTCGAGCTGTTTCCCTGTACAAACACTGCCCTTCTCCCATGATCGATTGATTGCTCCAAGGGGTGTATCTACCTGGTGTAAATGTTCACCCCATATGCCTGTCTATTGTTTGGCTGGAAGCCACAGGAGTGAGTTCAGTTCCAGACCTGAAGGGTTACTAGGGGCCGTATTCTCAGGGGTCTCACCAGGCTCTATCAGACCAGTAAACCTGTTATTTATTTAATTAATGATTTTGAGTTTTATTCCGCATAGTTCTCCCACTCTATTCAGCATCTCCTGCACTGATCCCCCTCCGAGTGGTTGACAGTGGTAGCCAGGCACCATCTAGTTCTTCTGGTCTTGTGGTCATATAGTCTGAGGATCTCATGGTCTACTAGTCTCTTGGACTAATTGTTTCTATGGGTCTTTGCTTTTCTTCATTCTTCTTTGCTCTGAAAGAGGAGAGACCCATTGTTGCATCTCAATGGCCGCTTGCAAGGTTTTAAGACCCCAGTTGCTACTCCCCAAAGTAGGATGTAGAACAATGTTTTTGTGTAGTATGTTATGCCAGTTGAGCCACAAGCACTTTTTGTATATCCAGTGTTTTGTTGTGTCCAAGATGCTTTCCTGAACATCCTCTCTGAATCCTCAGATAGCCTTACCAAACCAAATCAAACTCACTGCTATTGAGTCGATTCCAACTCACAGCGACCTCCATTGCGTTTACAGGGTGGTAAATCATTACAGAAGTAGATTGCCCTATCTCTCTCATGGCTTCCAGACAAACAAAAGACAGGCATATGAGGTGAACATTTACACTAGGAAGATATACTCCTTGGAGAGAACAATCATGGGAGAATAGAAGGGCTATGTATGCACAGGGAGACAGCTCAGGGGGCAGGAGTGCAAGGGATGGAAGGACACAGGGAAGAGGTAACTATGGGGAGGTAGTGGGAGGGGAGCCGTTGCATTGTAATGAATTGTGGTTAACGTCATGAGACAAAGTGTATGTGAACTGCTGTATGGAAAGTGAATTTGCTCTGTAAACTTTCACCCAAATCACAACTTAAAAAAAAAGAAAGACATTTTTTTAAGTAAAACAAATAGCACATTTGATGTGAAGATGTCATGGAGAAAAATAAACAGAGAAAGTGGTTGGGCAGTGCTGGGGTAACAACAACAACAACAACAAAATAAAAAACCCAAACTAGTCCCAGAGCTGATTTCAATTCATGGTGACCCCATGTGTTGCAGAGTAGTTCTATAGGATTTCCAAGAACTGTTCTATAGGGTTTCAAGGCTGTGACCTTTCAGAAGCAAATCAACAGGCCTTTCTTCCAAGGTACTTCTGGATGAGTTTGAACTGCAAACCTTTTGTTTAGTAGTTGAGAGCTTAACCGTTCACACCACTAGGGGCTCTGCTGAGGGTAATGGTGCAGTATTAAACAGGATGGTCAGAAAGTCCTCAGTGAGAAGCTGGCATTTGAGTAAAGACCTGCAGGAAGTGTGAAGCAAGCCGTGTAGATTTCGGGGACTAGCATTCTAGACAGGGCGAATAGCAAGTGCAATGACCCTGGGGTGGGAGTGTGCTCAGTGCGTTGCAGGAAAAGCAAGGAGGCCAGAGTGGCTGGAAGAGAGTCAGTGAGAAGAAGAGCTGGGATCAGAGAGATAATGCACTGGGGGCAGGTCGTACAGCACCTGGGAAGCCGCTGTTGAGAACTTTGGCTTTTATTCTGAGTGAGGAAGGAGTACTGGGGATTGTGAGCAGAGGAGGGAGGTGACTCAACATGGTCACTGCATGGTGTCTACAGGGGGCATGGATGAAACCTGAATTACTCTTTCCTGTTACCATCTGTGGTGGTGGTTATGTCTGTGTGTCAACTTAGCTGTGCCTGGTTGAGTGGCTGGGCAGCTGGTAGTAGTTATTCCCCATGATGAGACTGGCAATCAACTCCATGGTGGGACCTATACAAGCAGCTGACTAGCTGCCTTGGGTATGTGGTCTGCTCCCTATATATAAGCAGCAGCTTTGGGAATGGTTTCTAGTTTATGGCACGCTTGAACCCTGCATGTAGCCATGTCATTGCTCAGCAGCTTGCCATGCTCTGCCAACCTGGGGACTTGCAATGGATTTGAATTACTGGCCTGCCATATGGTTTGGTAACATCGGGACTGTGCCTTTTTCCTTGTCAACCTTGGGTTTGTCAGCCTCGGCAGCCAGCAGCTGTCTGAGTGAAGAAACACCTCTAGCTCCAGTGGGCCGGGAGCAGGAGGCAGAGCTGGACCCCAAAGTTGAGGGGTTTTCACCCAGCCCCTAGAGCCTGGCACTTTGAACTTGGACTTAAAGCCTCATAACTGTGAGAGAGTAAACTTCTGTTTGTTAAGGCCATCCCATTTGTGGTATATTCCTGTCAGAGTGGCACTAGGTAACCAGAACACCACCCCTTCTGATTTGATTGAGCAGAAAGTAATGGAATATAGATTTGAGGGGTAGGCAATGATCAGTTTTAGGGTGGGGGGACAAAGCAAGGAGATAGGCCAGGAGGCCGAGAGGCAGAGGACATCACCCTCTCCTTAAGTGGAGATAGGGAAATTGGGGCTCAGATGGAAAGTGGTTTCCCCAAGCTCACAGAGCAGTCTCCTGCCACCTGTCAGTGCCCCTTCTGGGTTCCCCGACTCTTTAATCCACCCAAGTCTGGACCTCAGCTAGCCTCTATGGTTCCTGTCTTAGTTATCCAGCACTTAAATAACAAGAATAGCACAAGTGGATGGTTTAAACAAACAGAAATTTATTCTCTCAGAGTTTAGGGGGCTAGAAGTCAATTCAGGCTGCCAGCTCTTGGGGAAGGCTTTCTCTGTCAGCTCTGGGGGAAGGCCCTTGTCTCCTTTCAACATCTGTGGGCCTGGCATTCCTTAGAGATCTCCATGTGTCTTGGGATCAATCTTCCCCTGGATCTCGGGGGTTCTCAGTGCAGGGGCCCCAAAGGATGTGCTCCACTCCTGGCCCTTCTTTCCTGGGCCAGGTGATGAGGTCCCCCTTGTCTGCCTGCTTCTTTCTCCTTTCAGTTCTTATAAGATAAAAGGTGATGCAGGCTGCACCCCAGGGAAATTTCTCTTATATCAAATCAGGGCAGTGACCTGAGTGAGGGTGTTGCATCAGACCCCAATCCCCTTACAACTGGTTGGCTGATCACATCAGATCACATCATAGGGGATGATCATATCATTACATAACTGCCAAAGGACATAATTACATAACTACCAAACCACTGAGAATCATGGCCCAGCCAAGCTGACACATGTTTTTGTAGAACACAATTCAATACATGTCAGTGCCTATGGGGTTTCCAAGGCAGTAAATCTTCATGGAAGAAGACGGCCACATCTTTCTTCCACAGAGCAGCTGGTGAGTTCAAACTGCCAGCCTCTTGGTTTGTAGCTGAGTGCTTAACCACTGCGCCACCAGCCCTCTTTAAAAAGGGATTAGGAGATTGAAAACTGGGTAAGAAAATCCTCTCACCTACCAGCTACAGGCCACAATCCCAAGCCTCTCCTACTTTAAGCCGTGTTCTATTTTGACTCCTCTCCCCTAGGGTACAGTCCTCATTGGCTGTCAAAAGATTTAGTGGACACTTTTAACAGCTGTTCTCCAGCGTCCCCTGGATTTGAGTGGGGGCTTGAAGAGCCCTCCGTTGCCTTCCCCCCTCTCTGAACTTCTTCGGACATTTCTCTGCACAGTCTGATTCCTCAGGCTCTTCTTTGCTCCGACCTGAGTGTTGGCAGGCCAAGAGGCCCTTTTGCAGGGAGCAGCCAGGAACAGGAACTGTGCATCTTGGGCACAGCAGCTCCAGGGCCTGGGCAATGGGCAACGTGATGGAGGGGAAGACGGTGGAGGAACTGAGCAGCACCGAGTGCCACCAGTGGTACAAGAAGTTCATGACCGAGTGTCCCTCAGGCCAGCTCACCCTCTATGAGTTCCGCCAATTCTTTGGGCTCAAAAACCTGAGCCCATCGTCTAGCCAGTATGTGGAGCAGATGTTTGAGACCTTTGACTTTAACAAGGTGAGCAGAGGCAAAGGAGTGGGTGGGGACTCCAGAGGAGCAGATGGAGAACAAAAGTGTCCACTAGAGGAGAAATTTCATTTATACAGTTACTGTATTTGTTTGTTAGGGGTTTTATCTAATGTTGGTTGAAGAAGACCTAGTTAAGCACTTGGTTACTAATTAAATGGTTAGTAACCCACCAGCCGTTCCACTGGAGAAAAGACCTAGTGGTTTGCTCCCATAATTATTACAGCCAGGAAACCTTATGAGGCAGTTCTACTCAGTCACATAGGTCGCTATGTGTCAAAATTGACCAGATAGCGCCTAACATGTCAAAATCGACTAGATAGCGCGCCTAACAACAATGTTTCTTGAGCCCCGACTGTGTGTCAGGCACTGGGGATTCACAAACGAATCGGACCTTGTCCCCTTTTCTAGGGGAAGACAGAAAAAAACAAACACAGTTGCCCTTAAGTCGGCTCTGACTCATGGTGAACCTACATGTGTCAGAGCGGAACTGTGCCCTGTAGGGTTTTCAGGGGCTATTTTTTCCGAAGTAGGTTGCCAGGGCTTTCTTCCAAGGCACTTTGGGTAGACTCAAACCTCCAGTCTTTCAGTCAGCAGCTAACTGAGCTCACTGTTCACACCACTGTAGTGGTGCAGTGGTTAAGGCATTTGGCTGCTAATCAAGGATGGGTGGTTTAAACCCACCAGTCACTCTGCAGAAGAAAGATGAGACAGTCTGCTTCTGTAAAGATTCACAGCCTTCAGAAACCCAATGAGGGTCACTATGAGTTGGAACCAGCTCCATGGAAATGGATTTGTTTTTTTGCTTTGGTTGAGGCTGAATGTAGTGGCTTTCTTCCTCTTCCACGCATACATCTCCATTTACTCCAAAACAAATGCATACAATAGAGTCACTAAGAACCTAACAAAAAAAAAAACAAACTCACTGCTGTGGAGTTGGATCCGACTGACAGCCACCCCTCCTTAGTTTCCGAGGTGCTATCACTACAAAAGTAGATTGCCCAATCTCCCTTCCAGCATTAAGAACCTACTATGTCCCTTATGGGAGGTCTGGTAGCGTAGTGCCTAAGGCACTTGACTGCTAACCAGAAGGCTGGCGGTTCAAACCCACCAGCCACTCCTTGAAAGGAAGGTTGGGCAATATACTTCTGTAGTGATATCGCTTTGGAAACCCAAGGGGGGTCACTATGAGTTGGGTCCGACTGGACAGCACATAACAACAACAACAGTAACAAATGAGATTTTATTGTGCTTTTGGTGAAGATTTACACAGCAGTTTAGTTTCCAATTCAACAGTTTCTACACAAATTGTTCAGTGACACTGGTTACATTCTTCACAGTGTGTCAACATTTTCATTATTTCCATTCTGGTTGTTCTGTTTCCATTCATTGAGTTTCCCTGTCCCCTTACTTTCTCATCTTTGTTTGAAAGTAATTGTTCACTGTTTGGTCTCATATATGTGATTTTTAAAAAGAGCACAGTCCTTATGGGTGACAGTCTTTATTTTATGAGCCGATCTGTTATTTAGCTAAAGGTGAGCTCAGGGGTTGTTTCAGTTCAAGATTTAAAGACTATCTCAGGACAATAGTCTCAGGGAGGCCTCCAATCTCAACCTATCCAGTATGTTCAGGTGCTATTTAAAACTCACTAATATCTGAGGTCAAGGGGCCAAAGCAGATTATGGGCTTTGAGTCCCAGCCTCAAGGGCAGCATCCTGGAGCTCGAGGGCTTTTCTGAAAGGGGCACTGGGGAGTAGAGTACTGGAGTCCATCCTATGGAGACTGGGAGGGATGGAGTCATCACACTGGACTCCCAAAGTGCTCCAGAAATGCAATAACTCCATGACGGAAGGGGGAGGAGTTAACGGTTGAACCCCACCAAGTTACCTCCGAACACAATGGAAATATCTTATCCTCTTGCTTGTCAAGGAAACTCATTCTTTGGGTCAAGACATGTTTCCAGAAGGCCCCCTAAAATCATACCTATGACACCAGGGAGGAACCACCCATAAACCCTGCATTTGGCTACCCTGAGTAACTCACAGGCATGTCTTTATTTTTTTGTCACATCTCCCAAATCTGATCTTTTTCTTCCTTCCTTTTCTCTCTTTCTTTGCTTTTTCTCTCTTTCATTGTGCTTGGGGTGCAAATTTACAAAGCAGATTTGTTTTACATTTAACAGTTCATGCACATTTGATTTCACAGCCCCGATTACCATCCCCAACCTTAAAAAAACTCTCCTCCCTGTTACCACCCCCTCCCTGTGCCCTTCTTAGCTACGCACTCCTGTCTGTCCAGCTTTCCCTCTATGTGAATGCTGTCCCTCTGGTGTCTCATGGCTGGTTGATCTAAGGAGGTGAATGCATTGCCCTGAGTGAATCAATCTCCTATTTCTCCCCAGTCTAGCCTCCATGTGCCCCTCCTGCTTATGGTTTTTGTGCTGCCAGGGACACTGTTCCCCAGAATTGTACTTGGCTTACACTTTCCCCTCCTTGCAAATCTCTGCTCAAATATCTCTGTCTCACTTACACCTGCCCTGACCAAATGGGCAGGTTTCAAATGGGCCTGGCTCTCACCCTTGTATTTCCTTTTCCCCGGGGTGGTGCAAACAATTAATGCTCTAGACTGCTAAATGAAAAGTTGTTAAGTTCAAGTTCACCCAGAGACTTCTTGGAAGAAGAAGGACCTAGTGATCTGCTTCCAGAAAATCAGCCACTGAGAGCGCTGTGGAGCGCAGTTCTGCTCAGACACCCATGGGAGTTGAATTGGAGTCAATGCCAGGGCAACTGGTTTTGGTTTCATGTTGTTAGTTGCTGTGGAGTTGGCTCTGACTCATGGTGACCTTATATATAACAAAGTAAAACATTGAATGCATGAAACGAAATGAATGAAAACCCAATGGATCACAACTTTTAATACACTGTAATAAATAACATTCAGCCATTTTGTTTATTGTCTGTGTTCCCTGCTGGAACGGGTGCTCCGTTTAGAGCAAGGATCCTTCTCTGTCTATATCCCCAACACCTAGGGCCTGCCTGGAACATGTTGTTGTTGTTGTTATGTGCCGTCGAGTCAGACCCGACTCATAGCGACCCTTCCTTGAGTTTCCGAGGCAGTATCACTACGGAAGTAGATTGCCCCATCTTCCTTCCG